TATCGCAAGTAAAACGGCTCCAAACATCACTGAAAATGGAAAAAAAATGTAATTTGCGTTGGCGGGGGGGGGGAGCTCGCTGTCACTCCGTTTGAATTCCCGTCAATTTTTTCCATTTTCAGTCATGTTCAAAGCCGTTTTACTTGCGATAAAAAAATTAAATGAAAAATCTGAGATAGAGGATCGATAGTTTGGCATTTCGACTTAACAGTGGACTTTTCAAAATAAATATAATCCCCATTTTGCTTGACAAGGGTATTATGCCGAAACGACCCATCGGACCGGGCCCAAATTTGGGCTCAATAAAGCCTGCCTTATCTACTATGTATGTGTAAAAAATTAATTATCTAGCATGAAAATTAAAAAAGTTAGGAATTTTTTACGAAAATCTCTTTTTTTGGGGGAAAAAAATCATTTCTCGAACACTAAAAGACCTACAGGGTTGTATGATGGCTCATTGTAAAGCTTGTTCAATGCTCTGAAACTATTGCCACAGTAGCAAAACCATCTGATCCTTAGTTTTCGAAATACAGTGAAATAAACAAAAAAAAAGCCCTGTTTTTGCACTAAATATTGTTTATAAATAAATCCCCTAAAAGTAATTAGATGTTGCATTTTTGGTTTTTAGCATCCTTAAATGATCCTTAACAATATTGTATCGATAGTTTGCTGTTAAATTTTATGTTAAAATATGGCTGTTATTTCGCTAAGTGCCTTCCTTGGCCTATTTGGTTTGACATATTTTGAGCGCTCAGAGCGAGCTCGATAAACTCCGAGTTTGTGGAGTGGGCAGTTGGAGCGTGCATGCGCAGATCAGATGTGTTCAATCTGCCTGTATAACCTAACCTATTTTCCATGATGAGATAAATAAACAATCCTGAATTTTAACATGTATTTGTTAGCTTTATAGTTTTACGGTATTATTGAACATATTTTTCCAAGGGAACTTGGCAGCTTCAGAGTGTTTAGGTCCATTTTATTGTTTATGTAGCACGACATTTTAAGCAGGTCACAAAAGAAAATGGGGATGTTTGAAAATTATCGACTAAAATAAAAAACAAACGAGAAAACTTTGGTGCAAATGCGGAATGCGGGCTCAGACTCCAAAAAAATATATCCCAAAAAAAATAAACAACTGTGACGTCACGTTACTTCGTAATCGCTCTGCTCGCTCCGCCGAGCGTCAACCCAAACGCGCCCAAGGTGTTCTCATTCGGGCTAAATGGCCGTCGTAAGTTGGAATTTCTTCCTAAGAAAAAGGAAGAAATTCCAACTTACGATGGCCATTAAGCCCGAATGAAAACTTGTCTGGTCGGAGACAGATTGTTCTTGTCTGGTCGGAGACAGATTGTTAAAATTGGCAATTTCCTCTCCAAAATCATTCGGGTTACCTCTGGGGTGCCACAGGGGTCCCATCTTGGGCCACTCCTTTTTAATGTCTTTGTGAATGATATTCACGAATGTTTTACCATATGTCTTTTCTTGTTGTTTGCCGACGACCTCAAAATGAGCTGCATAATAAGAACTCCTGAAGACTGTGACAAACTTCAGTACGATCTTAACAGCCTTCAACATTGGTGTATTGGGAACTTCATGAATCTCAACCCTTCTAAATGTAAAGCCATTACATTTTCACGTCTTAAAAATCCTATTAAATTTAATTATAAAATTGGTCAACACATCCTTGAGGAAGTTTCCATTATCAGAGACCTTGGTGTTTCTTTGAACACAGATCTTTTCTTCACTAATCATTTAAACAATGCAGTAAATAAAGCTTTTCAAATGCTGGGTTTTATCAGAAGAACTACACATGATTTCACCAATGTTGCCACCTTAAAGACTTTATATTGTGCCCTAGTACGCCCTCATCTAGAATATGCCTCCTGCGTCTGGTCCCCTTTTTATGTTGTACATCGAGATTCTGTACAGCTCGTTGAACACAAATTTTTGAAACAAATTGCCTTTAAACTGAATATTTTGAATAATTATAATGATTCACAACTACTTTCTATGTTGAATATGGCCTCAATAACTATGCGTCACAAGAGGAGAGATCTTACAACCTTCTATAATATCCTACATGGGAAAGCTTCGACTCCCAAAATTCTTCACAAAATTAGCATTCATGTCCCTCCTAGAACCACCAGGTCGAATGACAGTTTTCATATTCCGATTCATCGAACTAATTACGGACGCAATACTTTTATTTCCCGAACAGCGAGACTTGCAAATGAGCACCATGAGATTGACCTTTTTGCCCCCTTGAACATTTTCCTGGGTCAAGTTCGTCATACTTTTAGGTAGTTGTTAGAAAACTTTTATCATAAATTGGTGATCCCACCTCTTATAACTTTACTGTACCTACTCATTATTATATGATTTTTACCTAAATCTACCAGTCCAATCTACCTATCTAGCCTTACTCATTTCTCATCAAGTTGCAGGGCTGTTTGTTGTTATTATTATTATTTTATAATTTTAAGAGTGATTAACTTTATTTTTGTTACATTTGTTATGTAATTCTATATTGTTGAATTGAATGTTTAGCATTTTGTAAGTGGGCTCGGCCCGTTGATAAATAAATAAATAAATAAATAAATAAAACACCTTATCAATAAACTTGGGCCGCAATAGCCTCACAAACTTTAGCACTTTTAGAATTTTTTTTATTAGTTCAAAATTTAAATTGGACTATTATGATAGCGAAAGTACCCATTAGCACTAAAATATCTGGTTATTAGATACATTTTCATCTTCTCAGGATTAAATTAATTACCTTGAATCATCCCAGGTTAAATCAGTTCAAATCAAGGTTCAAATCTTAAAAAAATCTTTAATCCATTTAAATCTTCTTAACTCAGGTTAAATCTTCCTAAATCAGGTTAAATCTTCCTAGATCAGCTTAAATCTTTTTAAATGATGCAATAAATCTTTAAATTACCTTATTTAGCCTATACATAAAACCTGCTTTTTTCACAATTTCTTTTTTATGTACTCGCAGTGCAGAGAAAGGTTGAGCTAACTAATCATTACTCCTAGATATTTGAAATATTTAACCTCTTCAATCTGAGCATTATCAATAACAATGTTGAGTTTGTTTTGTTTCTTGAGTTGAATTAAATTATGCGAGAAATTATGCTTTGAGGATAAAACCATAAATTTTGTTTTGTTTACATTCAATTTAAGTCCATTTTCCATTAACCGCACATGCAAGTTATTAAGATCTTCATTTAAATAATTTTCAATGTTTTGAAATTCATTAATATCGCAAATAAAATAAAGTATTGTATCATCTGCAAATAGTTTGATTTTGCAATGCCTTACGTGTTTTATTATGTCATTAATAAATATGAGAAATAAAATGGGCCCCAGCACTGATCCTTGAGGAACACCATGACCAGTTTCAATTTTTTCTGATACTGAGTTTTTGAATTACACCTTTTGAAATCTTTGTTCCAAATAACTCTTAAACCATTCTAATACTTTACCTGTAATGCCATATTTATTCATTTTTTGTAATAGTAAATCAATGTTAACAGTTTCGAAGGCCCTGCTAAAATCTAGGAAAACTACACCAATTACTTTTTTATTATATACCTATCTGAGATCTCCAAGAGGATGTTAAAAACTGCAAAGCTGTCTCACAGGAATGAGCCTGCCTATAGCCTGATTGTTCACTAATCAAAATATTATTTAAATTGATTTGATATAAAGCATCAACTGATCTTTTACTAGTAATTCTAGAGCTTTTTCATAAACATGTAATGTATTAATGGGCCTATGTTCTGCGCAAAGAATAGTTTTTAGTACTTTTTCTATTGGAATCACGGTTGAGCACTTTCACGCATCTGGAACGACAATACCAGGTGAAAAATTTCCAACAAATTTTATTTGTTATGAAAAACCAAGTGAGAAGCACAGGGTATTACCACGGGTCTGGTGAATATAAGGACCCACCGAATTTCACTTTTATTTTTTCTTTAGAGGAAACCTCTATTAGTATAGAACAGTTTGAAAGAAAAAAATCGCTGGATAACGCACTTTTAAAGGGAAAAAGCGAAAAAATATTTTGTAGGAAAGTGAATGTGATTTTTTATGTTTAATAAAAATTATATTTTTTTTCCATAAATTCATGTCCACGCACTTCAAAAATAGGCATTATAGTGATCCTCTTCTCAACCTTTAACACAGATCAATGAATAAAATCTGTTCTTATCAGCTTAATATCACTCTGCATGCAAAAATTCAACATACTAGAACAATTTCTATAAATTAAAAACTATCATGTCTTTGGTTTTATTAAATTTAAATATTTCTCACCATATAGAAACAAATCATCATTTTGAAGCAATTTTCATGAAGAACTATCTCTGAAAAATCGATATTGTTGTATCACTGTTTTTATAGAGACAGACACCTCCATTTTAAGCTCTTACACTAGTTAGTTTTAACTTCAACAATCCAATAAATTGATATTTTTGCATATCTACCAACCATCGCGCCTGCAAAACATAAACAATTCAGTTGAAATATGAACATTCAAATTCCACAAAAAATATCAAGGTATCAAAATGCTCTAGAAAAACTAGGCAAAATCGAACCATCCTCAATCTATCAATCAGCTAATCAACTGTTTGTTATATCTTTGGCATACACATGATAATTATGTGAGGTAACTAGGTAGCTATAGCTACTTTCCAAAGAATTTTTTTTTTTGGCAAAAATCTCAGTTCATCCATCGTTTTTTTTATTTTAATAAGTCTAAAATGCAATAATGTTTCTATTACATATTCAAAAATTGTTAGATTCTGTGGGTCCTAATGTTCACCAGAACCCAATAAATAATGTTCCGAGTAATATTCTTTTTTGATGGTGTGTCTGAAAGATTACATCATAAAACCAGCTAACAAACATAATATAAACACTATCTACTATCTGTATTTGTAGGAAGTGAATGATAAAATAATTATAATGTAAATATATAACTTGTTGGCACCTACCTTTTGATTACATCTCCTTTTGTCAGTCACAGGCCTGGTAGTGTTTTGGCCCTCTTTATGGCTACTTGCACTTGCAGCTACCTCTTGTTTTTTTGGTTGTAATATTCTCTTGTCATTGGCAGGTGGTTGTGGAACCGCCTGCGGAACCTTTGAATCTCGGCTTGATTGAACTTTCAAATCTCTACTTATATTCTTGTTTTGATTAGAACTGGTCTTTTTTTGCCAAGGATTTATTTTTGGCAATGGGGCTGCCACAAAAACCTTTCTGTCATCAGATTGATCAGTTTCCTTGTTTGGTGTTTTATCTTTATCTTCCCTTTCAAGTTTTGACTTAGCTACATGGGAATCTTTTTTGTCATGAGACTTTTCTGGCTTCTCACAAATGCCATTGAATAAGTGATGTTTCAGTTTCTTCTTTTCATTTTTACGTTCTTTTCTACTGTGGCTTATCACAGGAGTAAAAGAGCTGTCATCGTCTGAGGCTTCGGCGGTATTTTTATTTTTCTTATCACTGTTTTCTACCAAAATTTTATTTTGGATTTGAGGCTCTTCCTTGTTAGGTTCTTTTATATTTTCTTTATCACTAGTACTGCATTGTGGTTGGGGGTGGGAACTTTTAAAATTTTGAACTGCAAGAGCGTAGGATGCCCCAACTTCAACAGACTTGTCATCCCCTGATTGCAGGTTGGGGTTAGGAGATGCCACTTGGGTGTCCATAATAGTAACTAACAAACTAACTCGATGCAAATTTACGCATTCAAATCGAACTTAGCGATTATTTTGACTACATTTACCAATATGGAGCGAAACCATGTTGGGTGCATGAAAGCATGGCACCACTAATATTATCTAAACACAATATAAAATAGTCGAATCTAACAAACTACGTTATATAACACAAGACGGAGATACTAACTGTCCTTTTATGAACCGCGAACTACTCGGCACTATTTTGTTATATTATTATTTAATCCAACTGCGTCTGGTTTTTAATATTTCTGTGAAACCTGACATTTTTCCTCTTTCGGGAATATTTAATTCTTATTGGTTTCCATCGTCCCAATTGGTTGCAGAAAATGACATATTTGACAAAATAACAACTGACGTAGGCTTTACAGGCGCGGAATTCAAATAGTTGTTGAAAGGCACGTGTTTAGTCTTTGTAAGCCGCGTCCACACCGAAGTCTACTATTCACTATTGTACTAAAAAGAACGCGCCGCTCTAGCTTCATTCTCAATTGTGCGAAATTCGCTCTTTTTTTGACATTTGATACACGCATAAAATGTCAAATTGTAGAAGCAATGTCAAAAAAAACAATAATTTTGCGCAACTGAGAATAGAGTTTTAAAGTGCGACTCACTCGGATGTAAATTGAACGCGGCTTCAGGGCTGCATTCACGATAGTCGCCCGGGCGCACTCCGGGCGTGCTCCGTGCGCGCTCTAGCGTCCGGATAAAGGCTCGCTTTCCTCGGATGCGGAACGGAGACGGAACGCAAGCGTGACGGAGTCATAGCGCTTCCTGGCGTAACGCGCTTGGAAGCTAGTGCTTTCCTCGAAGGCGACGCAACGTGGGCGGTTCGGTAATCCGTGTGTGAAAATAGGCTATTTTTTATTTCATTAGACATATATAAATAGATAAATTATACAACACAAGATACTGCCACACTAAAATCAATCAACAACTCACTTTGCTCTTCTGAAAAACTCGATATTTTTAAATTTATAATATTCCGTCCGTGTTGCGCTCCGTCGAAGTTGCCTGTCGACCGACCGGTGGCGTGATTCCGCTAGCGTCAAAAAAACTGCGCTCCGCCGCCGTCGCGCCACCGCTGCTTAGGAAAGCACATCTTTATATTTTTAATGCCGGCAACGTCTGCGGCACCCGTTCCGTCTCCGTCCCGCATCCGAGGAAAGCGAGCCTTAAGGGCGGGTGTTATAAACATGTTTTAAAGTTAACTTTGATTATAACAAGGATGATACACACTACTAAGGATGGCTTATCCTCATAAGGCCTGTGTGTAACAAATCCCCCCCTTCCCCGCCTAGCCAAAAAATCAGTTGTGACGTAAACATCATGGCGTTTTTCGTCTTGAGGTAGGCTGTTTGCACCACCCACAGGTTATGTTATGATCTGGCTGCTGGCTGGAAATTATGGAACTAGTTTCTAGTATAATTAAAGTCTAAAATTATAAAATTATATCAGATACATATAATCATGACTTTTAATTATTACTGTTGTGTTCCTCAATGCAAGTCTTGGGCTAAAAAAAAAAGCTGACAAAGGATTGAGTTTCTACATATTTCCCCTTGAAACAGGCCCACGGGTTTATTTGGAAACGAAAATGGAAAAAGAAGTGTCGAGAAGAAAAGCCTTCTGGATTTTAAAACTTCGTATTGGCAAACCAGTCACCAAATTCATGAAAGTGTATTCTCTGCATCTCAATTAAGCAAGAATTTTGTGTTAAGGTAAACAAGCATAATGGATAGTTTTGTGCCCTAGCTTCATTTTAGGCCTGCTTCTAGGCATTTATCAAGTACTATCTATTTTTAAAATGTTTTGTTTGAAAATATTGACTGTTTTTATTATTTACAGGTGAGAGTACAGGTCTTAGGGCGGGTATTATAAAACTGCTTTGACAGTTAACTTTTTGAATTACATGTAATTCCAGAAGTTAACTTTAAGTTAACTCTCAAAGTAGTTTTATAATACCCACCCTTAGAGGTACAGGTAGAGGTCGGATATTGAAAAAAACAGTTGTACCATCCCAGAATTTGCCCTCTTCTATAGTGATCCATAAACCGAGCCAAAAAAAAGATTCCATGGGTGCTGAAAAACTTGCCGAAAGAAAAAGAAATCAAGATTCTAGTGAGACTGATACAAGTAATGAATGTAGTTGTACTTTTAATCAATTATTAAACTCTTCTCAGATAGGCATACAAATGGCCGAGCAAACAGCAGAACGTGTAAAGTGTTTATTAAATCCTAATTACCAGTATTATATTATAGGTAGTTCGAGTAAAAATCAGATTTGTGGTCAAGTTATTTGACTTTGTTAATTTAATTTTCACCTATTTATAAATAAAAATAAAGAGTTATTTATAAAATGTTTATTTATTTATTACACGTACAAGTTATTCAAATACAGACATTATAAGGGAGATCCATACCAGCCTTGAGACCTTTTTGGCAATGTCCTATTGTAGAAAGTTTACAAAAATATAAGAAAAAGATCCGGTTAGGCTGTTGTATAGATATAATCATTTCGGGTCAGATAAACGAAATAGATTATAATGAATTTTGGCCTGCATCATCACGAGCAGCATTATGGGTGAAAATTATTACCCAGTGTGAAACTTTCGAGAACAGTGAATAAATAAGTCGATATTGCATTTGCAGCACATTGTTCTTCCTCGGCTGCTACAGTTTTGACCACCACATCGTTTTTTTTACGTTCAGGAAAAGTGTTTCAATAATGATGCAGTCCATAATACCTTATATCATTATTGACTCAAAAATCACTTGCTGCAGCCCGAAGCATATTCTCCTGTAGCGCAAGGTGGTACTTTATATTTCCTCGGGTATGTCTGAAAATAAAAATAAAGTTAAAATTGTATATGATTTCCCAAAAAATTGTTAATTCTACTCTACCTGTGATATATTTCCCATTCGAATAAACAATTTCTGCACTAGCACAAAAGTTGCCTAGTAGATAAGTCAAAACCACATTCCTCATCTGCTGAATCTTAGTCAGTGAGCTCTTTGCTTTCTGTGTGGGCTCGATATATTATGCCATCAACATTTTCATTATCATAAGCAGTATTCAAAGCTTCCTGATGGCTAATTCCACAAACAAAATGTAAGTACAGCTAAAAATGTTAGCTTCTGCCCAGGCCCATATGCCATATGGGACAGTAATATTTACAAGAATATAATACATAAACAAACAATTTATGCTCGAATAGGAATATGTTATAATAATATGAGAAAACCCTAAAAACAATTAAATAGTATAGAATAAATTATCTTATAGTTATTATACTTACATAAAGAAATGTAAACAAAACGCCGCGTAATTCTCCTAGGGCTCCATTAAATCATACATGCTGAAAACGTGTAAATAGGCGGAATGACGAAAGCTAGCCAGATATCGCGCTACTGGTTCCATCATAGTATAGGGTACCTTTACCCGCTATAATGGTTAATCAAAATCAAAATAAAATATTTTTCATGACTAATTATAAATTTATAAAACCGCTGGCGCAAACAGCTGGCGACTTTGTTATGACGTCAGCAGTGGTTGGAAACAGTTGAAAACCAATATGGCGGCAATTACCCAAAAAGGGGCCGATAAGCACTCCTTAGTAAGTTTATTCTCCTTGCGATAAGCACTCCTTAGTAAGTTTATTCTCCTTGGATTATAACACTTAAGTTAACTTTAGCTTTTAAAATGTCAGTTTCATAAAAATCCCATTTCTAAAATAAAAAGAAGAAAAATAAGAAGAAGAAGAGGACGAAAAGAAAAAGGTAACCCCAATGAACTATAACCAAAAACTGGAATGCGAACACATAAGGACGAACGTGAGGCCTAGTGCGGCTGCTGCGGAGGGGATACCTGTTTTTGTCGCACTCATTATGTTAAATGGCGAAAATTGCTTCCAACACGTATTCCAATTGATGAAACCTGTGAAGGGAATTAATATGACAAAACTTTCGAAAACGTCATATGTCAGCGAGCAACAGAAAAAAACAATATTCCCCCTTGTGGCATCTGTCTTTCATGGCTTCATTTTTTTGGCAGATATGGCAATGTGTGCACATTCCAGTTTTTAGCTATAGTTCATTGGGTAACCCCAAAAAATTGGCGCCATGAATTTAATTCAAACAACCGTGACATTTTTCATCAAAAAACTGTTTTTCTACAACTGTCAAAAAAGGTGATGTTTGCACACTGATGACAATTTGCGAAGTGCCAGTTTTTTTTGCAGGGGGCCGATTCTCATCCTCTAGTCGCAACCTATCGTCCCGACTCACTCGTAGAAAGGCAATGGGATAATCGGGACGATAGGCAACGACTAGAAGATAAGAATCCCCCACCGGGTAGATTTTTTTTAACGTTCCCATGACGCCGTGTGCGAAATGATTTTCCAGTGTGCGAAATGCTTAGTTCGCACACTCAGGTAACAAATACCTGGCACCTGACAGGAAACCAAAAATAATTAAAATTCACCTGCCTTTGATTGTTAATGCAATTTTAGCTTCGAATTATCGATATTTGAATGGAGTTGTAGAAAAAATATTGTTTGCAACTCGTGCGCGAAATACTTTCGTGATCTCGACTATTTTTTTAACTCGGCTGCGGCTGCGCCTCGTTGAAAAAATCAGTTCTCGATCACCAAAGTAGAATTTCGCGCCCTAGATGCAAAAATAACTATTTTTGTGTATTTTGTAGTATGATTTTCTAGTGTTTGGAAGGATAATTTTCGTATTTTAAGATGGAAAGTTTTTAGTTTAAGAAATTATTAGTGGAAAACCCGGATGTTTGCAAAAGTTATGATTTCTTTGTGACAAACCTTTACCTACTAAACAATTAGGTAGGTACCATCCAGGATTTGTTTCCTGTTTAGTTTTTCCCAACCAAATCCTGAATACTGATGTTTATTTTATTTGTCTGCTATTCAAGTTATCGACACAAGCTGATGTGGAGGATAGAATGGCTTGGATCCATACACCATTTATGTAGAGAGACTTTGTGGTTTTTTAATATGGATTTCGTGAGATTTTTTCTCTTTTACTACAATCCATGAAGCCCTTACAAAGACAGACAAATTATTTTTCTCCGATAAAAGCCTGTGTTTTGTCTCTGCAGGAACGGCATGAAACTAGACTTTCTCGCGATTAGAACGGCTCCCACAACTAAGTACAATACATACCGAATGCATTTTCCAAAAAATCAACACTTTACAGACTTTATACAAATCAAAAATCGCAATAAATGGCATTTTTTTAAATAAAAAGGCATTGGCCTCCATTTTAAATTTCATTTTGACATGTCGTTGGATTGCCCCAAGAATCGTAAACTCTACAGGATTGCTCAATCCCATAAGACA